AGAATGGGTTGGGACCTAGGAAGTTTTCTTACAATGAATTGTCCAAAGCATTGAAGAATTTGGCCGATGAAGAGAAGCTCGGCGAGGGAGGATTTGGAACAGTTTATAAAGGTGTATTGAGGGATTCCAATACAAAATGTTGCAATTAAAAGTGTTTGGAGGATGTTCAAACAAGGGATAAAAGGGTATGAATCAGAAGTAAAGACTATTAGCAGATTGAGGCATAGAAATTTGGTGAAGCTTATTGGATGGTGCCATGAAAAGGAACTCTTACTTGCTTAAGAGTTCATGCCGGGTAGCAGCTTGGATTTCCATCAATTCAAAGGGCGGAGCTTGTTACCATAGTATATTAGATACAAAATTGTGCAAGGCTTAGCATTAGCATTGTTGTATCTACACAAAGAAAGAGATTTTTGTGTACTGCCTAGGGACATAAAAGCAAGTAACATTATATTAGATTCAGCTTTCAATGCAAAGCTTTGGGATTTTGGGTTAGCTAGGTTGGTTGACCATGAAAAAGGGTCACAAACAACTCTTGTGGCCGGTACAATAGGCTACATGGCTCCTAAGTGTCACATAACAGGTAAGGCAAGCAAGGAGTCAGATGTTTATAACTTTGGTGTTGTGGCACTTGAAGTTGCATGTGGCAGAAGGTCAATAGACTCCAGTTGTGATGAGCTTCTAGTGGCTTGGGTTTGGGAAGCACATGGGATCAAATGGTTCTGGATGTAGCTGACAAGAAACCTCTACAGGTTTTAATGTGAAAGAGATGGAGTGTTTGTTGCTTGTTGGTTATGGTGTGTGCATCCTTCCCCCAATATGAGGTCGTCAATTAGGCAGGCAATCCAGGTGCCTAATTTTGTGGCAGCACTTCCAAATCTACCATGTAAGAGGCCTATTCCCAATTATGATATCTCTAGTACTTCGGTCATCGAAGAAAGTGAGCCTAATTCATTGAGCATTACCATCCCTCGCTAATTTTCATATCAAACCTCATGTAAATTCATGTTGATTATAAACAAGTGTGTTTATTGTTCTAGAATAATATGTATGCCTTGCATTTCACTTTGAATCTTCAATTTTTATGGCATTTTTATGCTTGTAATCTGTTCATTTGAACAATTAAAATTTTTGTTGATTAGTAACTGAGCCAGTTGAGGATTTGGGCTTCTTTTTGAGTTACTGCCTAGATAACTAGTGGAATTGGTTAATGTAACCTCATTGAGAATCAACACCTCTTTTACTGTCCCCTCTAATAGATGTCCCAATGCTTAAGAGCTTAAGTCTTCATGATGAAAATTTCAAATTCGAATCTTTGGATTAATTGAAAAGGGAAAACTATTCCTTTTTATGTAGTTCATCACTTAATGTACCAAAAAAAAAAAAAAAAACCCTCTCACCAGGAATCAACACTATCATTTTAGGGGATGCCATTGAAATTTGTTTCCCTATACCTTAGTTGTTAAACTAGCTTGTTTCTCTCAGATATACCAAAAAAGAAAAAGGCAATATCTTGTTGAATGTAGCAATTTTAGATGTTCCGATGGACAGTTGATTAACATTCAAATTCTAAGAAGACAGATAAACATTTATTCCTTTGGAAATTAGATACTTGACCTTCGATTCCAATTCTCAGGTAGGCTCATTTCACATTATGAGATTTTTAATGCCAGCTTCGCTTAGCATTAGTAATCTGGATATCAAGCGTCAGCCTTCCCTGATTTGATGATTTCACATTATTAGCCTTCCTTTGTAAATTTAACTTCGGTTTTGCTTTCATGTTCACCATAGTATTTCTAGGGTTTTAGAAAGGTTTCTATTTTAACTTACTGCGACTGAAGCTGATTTGAAACTTTTATAGAGTTAGGTTGTTTACACTATTGTTTGTTTATATACAATCCATTCTTCAAGAACTGGAGCTACCCAAAACAGGGGACTCTCTGTTGTGGCCCTTTTAAGTAGGTGATGTGCTGCCCTTTAATTTCCATGTCAAATTCCCACCAGCCATCGTCCGTATTACTAAAAATAGACAGTTTCTTCTGGGAAGAGATGTCATGTAACAATGCGTCACCAGAAAGAATGTTTTCTCCGCAAGACTCGTCATCCTCTCCCGTGAGAGATCTTTAATATTAAGCCGGAATACTTCTACATCATCCACAACTTTTGGTTTTTCCTAGATATATATA